AATACTAAAATCTGAAGATATTCCTTTGACAAAAGCCTGTTTTTAGTGCTACCATTCTTTGCTAAGGAGTCAGTTTAATTTTCCTTATCTAACTATTCAAGCTAAAAATACTAAAATCTGGAGATATTCCTTTGACAAAAGAGACAACATTGATATCCAAAAGGAACATTAAAAGAGAAGTATCGTACATTTAGACAACTGTGAAGGTAATAATAAAGTGAACTTTACCTTTGAGGATACTCTAAGGTTCATTAGAATGTGAAGTTTTAAATACATTTTGAAAAAAAAAGTTGAAATCAATCAATCAAAGAAGACATTTATATTATAAAATCGAACAATATCCTGAACTGACTTATTAGCAAAGAATGGTAGTACGAAAAACAGGCTTTTGTCAAAGGAATATCTTCAGAACTTTTAGTATTTGTAGCTTGAATAGTTAGATAAGGAAAATTAAAATGACTTCTTAGCAAAGAATGGTAGTATGGAAAATAGGAAACAGTACAAACAACAATGATAAACATTAATTTCTAGCAAACAGTACCCCAAAATTTAATGTTTATCATTGTTGTCACTAGTACGTTTGGTTCTGACTAATGACTGTTTTAGCATTTAACAGAAGATTTTTATTTTATTAATTTCCTTAGGTAATTGATGATTTCTGAAAGTTAACAAAAGACTCTCTTGGCCATCACTGTGTACAGTACTCTAGAGAAAACTGCTGGAATTTAAATGCTTTTGACCAGATAACGACAGACTTCTAAGATCGTCCTGATTTGTTACAGTCAGTTGGGTTGTTAATGAGAGAAATCATGGTTGTTACTGACAGGAACTTAACAAAATTCTTAGTTATTGACAGGAAATTAACAGAAGTCAATTTGTTATCACTGGCAGGAATTAATAGAAGTATTATTGGTTGTTGCTGACTTAAAATATGCACAAATCTTTATGGTTGTTGATGAAATAGGAGTTAAGAGAAGTCTTATTGGTTGTTACTAATGGGAGTTAAGAGAAGTCTTATTGGTTGTTACTAATGGGAGTTAAGAGAAGTCTTATTGGTTGTTACTAATGGGAGTTAAGAGAAGTCTTATTGGTTGTTACTAATGGGAGTTAAGAGAAGTCTTATTGGTTGTTACTAATGGGAGTTAAGAGAAGTCTTATTGGTTGTTACTGGCTGGAAATTAACAAGTCTTGGCTGTTTTAGCAGAAGTATTTATTGTTGTTACAGATACAAAATTGACAGAAGTCTTGGTTTGTTGCTTAGTAGACATAAGCAGAAGTTTAATTGCTTGTTGTTGATTAGATATTAGCAGAATTCTACATGGTTGCTACAAAGAACTTAATAAACTATATTTTGTTTATATTGTTACTAACTTGTTGCAGTTGAAGAGGTGTAATAGGTTTAGCAGAATTCTACATGGTTGCTACCAAGAACTTAATAAACTATATTTTGGTTATATTGTTACTAACTTGTTGCAGTTGAAGAGGTGTAATAGGTTCTCACTATTTTACAAAAATCTTCTTGAATAACATTAACATTTGAAAATAAATTTGAATTTCTGTAGTGGCTAAATTTTCTTAAAACTAAAAAGCTCATAGAATTGTTTATTATTGCTTTTATAATAATGTTAATTTACAAACGTAAGATTCAACAAAACTTGTAGTTTGAATTGAATGAATCTCGACATGAAGGTTATAATAGATCATTCTTGTTTTATTACAGAAATTCATGTTCTATGTGTTGAAGAGCAGCGAAGTGTTAGAAGTGCTTGTTCCGATACTGTATCATCTAAATGATGCCAGGGCTGACCAATGTAAGGTCTTTCAACTTGTTGAAAACCCAAATTGTTTCACAACAAGATGACCATTTCTGTTTTTCATAATCAGTAAATTAATAGGGAATATTTTGTAGTATATTATTACAACATAACACAATAGAAGACTCTGTGTTAGTAGAGGATTATTTTAAAATAACTTAACAGCAGGTTTTTAGTGGTCTATATCTTGACTGTCAGTGATGTAACATTGGGTTTTTAGTGGTCTACATCCAGACTCTGTAAGTAATGTAACCTTGGGTTTATAAGTGGTTTATATCCGGACTCTGTCAGTAATGTAACATTGGGTTTTTAATAGTCTATATCCTGATTGTATCAGTAATGTAACATTGGGTTTTTAGTGGTCTATATCCTGATTGTATCAGTAATGTAACGTATCAGTAATGTAACATTGGGTTTTTAGTGGTCTATATCCTTGAACCTGTGAATAACTTAGAAGTGAGTTTGTAGTGATCCGTATCGTTGTACTCTTATCAAAAATTGAACATAGCTAAGCTGTATACCCAAAACATATGTTAGTTATTATATATTTGTTTACATAATTAGGCTGATGAACCTTCTCTACCTTTACAGCTAGAGTGGGACTGGTCCACATTGGTGTCTTCATTCTTCTGCTTCTGAGCGGTGAACGTAATTTTGGAGTTCGCTTGAATAAGCCCTACACAGCCAGTGTGCCTATGGACATTCCTGTGTTTACTGGCACTCATGCTGACTTGCTGATTATTGTATGTTTATGTTTTATTATCTGTTGTCAACAGTAAAAGCTAGATTCTTTATACTAACTTGCAAAAAAGAGTGTATATAAAAACGATATTCTTTATTTTTGTGACTAATATTATTGATGAGGTCCACACTTTACTTGCGATTCCTGACTTTAATGGTTAAAGGGTCCTTTAATAATGTATAAGTTACACAATAAAAGATTCCAGTTGTCACTTTTTGTCTATTTTACATGAAAAATGAGTGTTTTATTCATTTTTTTTACATGGAATATTGTAACAGGTAAAAAATGTGTGGACCACACCAGTAGAGAGTGGTATAACAACAAGTCCATAAGTCAGATAATGTCCATGAAATAAGTGCTAAAACATTCGTCTGTGTTAATAAGGTGTTTTAGTATTGTCTAGAAATATTAACCCCATCGATAAGGGTCAGGGGTCAAAGGCTATGTTATTGCATTTGTTGACTCATTTATTGAACTACTATTTTATGAATCTATGTCAATAAGTTTGATATCAAACTGTAGATTGTAAATCAAATCCTCTTTTTTGGAAACACTTGCTTACGTACACCTACTTCTGTCTATGACTCATGAATAACCAATCAAAAGCTCAGAATGTCCCCCTTGTGGCTTTCTCATCAAATTAATTCTTTTCATGCTGGATTCCAAGCAGTAAGGTAAGACTTTAATAGGCTCAAAATATCAAATTTTTTTTGGGACCAAAATACATCTTAGTTACTAAACTTGATAAATTATAGAGGAATTCTGTGTTATTGATGTAGAAATTTATGATTTCTTTCGGTTATGTAAAACCTAAAAAAATTTTCTTTTCACATTAGCCACATGGGAAATGTCATAAGGCTTCAGTGGCGTGGCAAGGGGGCAGTCGCCCCGGGGCGCAGGTGTGAAGGAGTGCAAAATTTCCTCTGGTCTATAATGCCTATTAATTAATAATTATGCCCTCCCCTAGGATATAGCACAACTGCCTTACGTTAAGTAAATACGACAAAGTGTTACGTTATTTGTGGGTATTACGCTTGCAGTTTTAACTTTTAAAAGCCGCCCACTGAAATACAGTGAGACCAAATTGACGTACAGAAGTAAATTACACTATTCCATCATTCATCTGTAGATCAAATACAAGTCCTAGAGTACAACGTACAAGTAAGTGTATGTTCAACAAAAAGAAATACAAGATTGATGTAACATATTAACTGGAGTGCAAGATTGGCAATATATGC